ATTGTCAAGCAAGGCACAAGCAATCCAGGAGGTTTCTGGACATGGGGAGACACTCTGCCGGACATGGTACGCACAAGAAGGAACTGGTCAGGCATGTAAAGGCTGAGAGTACCCTTAGATGCAGTGACCATAAGATGGAGGAGTTCTAAATCCTGAGAGGAGGCAGAAAGTCAAAAAGTGTGAGGGCCTGAGGGCACTCATATGCTCTAAGGTCCCTAACCCTTCCCACCTGGGACCTCCACCCACACTCTGCCCATGGGCCCAAGAGCTCCATTTCAGCTCAGGCCTGGACCTTAATCCCTGCTATCATGGGCAAAACAATCTCAGCTCAAGGAATTTCACTTGATTTATTGCCAATTAACATAAACCTTAAATTACTGTTTCAGATACTGAAGAAAAAACAATATGACAAATAGTTAAAGAAACACTTAGGGAAACGCCTTTCCTCCCCTTTCCCAGGCTCAGCTTCAGTCCAACAGCTTTTCTCCCCCCATTCCTAGTCTCAACTCCCCTTGTTGTCCCTGCATGTTATGCTGAGTTCCTCCCAAACCCTTTGGTGAGGTGACAGGCAGCACAGGAAGTTGGGATCAGTGTGTTGTGCTTTCTTTTGCCACTCATTGCTTCTTACTCTTTTCTTCTACTACTCTTTCCTTCTTGTTTCCTCTGCTGAGTCATGGCACACCCCTGGGGCTGCAGTCCCCTCAGGGGTGTACCTGTTCCAATGTGGGTCATCCACAGGCTGCAGTTTCTCAGAAGTGTCCCTACTCTGGCATAGTTCCTCGCTGGGCTGCAGTCCCTTCAGGGAGAAATGGGCCAATGGGAATTTCATGAAGTTCAGTAGAGGGAAATGCAAAGTCCTGCATGTGGGCAGGAATAATTCCATGTGCCAGTACTCAGCTGGGGAGCCAAAGCCAAAGCAAAGAAGTACCTGGGTGTCTTGATGGACAACAAGCTAACCACGAGCCAGCAATGAACCTCTGTGGCAAGGAAGACCAACAGCATCCTCAGCTGCATTAGCAAGAGCATTGCCAGTAGGTCAAGGGAGATCTTTTCTCCTCTATTTGGCACTGGTGAGACCACATCTACTAGTACTGTGACCAGTTCTAGGCTCCCCAGTATAAGAAAGCCTGGGCAAAACTGGAGTCCAGCATGAATATGATTAAGAGATTTAAGCATCTGACATATAAGGAGAGGCTGAGAGCTGAGACTGCTTAACCTTGAGAAGAGGAGGCTCAGAGAGGTTTAGCAGTATGAATAACTGATATGAATAAGTAAAGAAAACCAGTAGTATCCAGTGAAGAGACAAGAAGCAAGAGGCACAAACTGAAATATTAGAAATTTCACTTAAACGTACTTTTTTCTTACTTCCTGTAAGAGGAACATCAAACTACAGAAAAAAAAATAGACCATGACTGTTTTCTCCATATCACAAAGAAATAGCAATCTCCCACCTTATGCCCAAGACAGGTCAAGTAGGGGCTAGATTTGGACTTATTAACCAAACTTATGCTTGAGCTCAACAAGGTAGAAGTACAGGCAAGAAAAAAAAAATAACAAAAAAACCCACACAACAGACTGTACTCATGCCTACATAATGATCCACATTTGCTTCATGGGCTTGCTTGGGTCCAGAAGACAGACAACCATATCTGCATGATACACAGTTCAAAGTCCTGGTTGATTCCAGGCCAAAACAGTTTCCATCCCTCTTCATCAGATCCTGATACCAGTTACTCACATGTCCAGGACATGAACTGCCCTTGCATTCAAACATCTTTACATTATGTTCCCCATTAACTATCTAGTACTTTTATTAGCCAGATTTCCTCTTTATTTGCTCCCTTTCCTTCCAAAACATCCCAGATAATATGGAAGCCAGGTTTTGTTTTTCACCCAACACCTAGGGGAAAAAGAAAGAAAAACAGAAAAAAGTAGTCAGTTTTGCAAACTGTTGTTGAATTTCAGTGCTTAAATTTAAAATGGGACTATGTTTATCTTTTCCAGAGAAAATACGTTCTAGAGAAATTTTTCAGAAATCTGTTCCATCTCCTGAGTGCAAGGAGATGTCTGGAAGCTAAGCAATTGGCAGGATAAATTATGTTAACAGGACTGTAGTGTTTCGGTTAAATACTGGAGCACTTCCTCTAGAAATCATAAACTGTATGGTTCAGCATCCCTCAGTCTAATATTCAGGTACCATGCTTCTGTGAGAATAAACAACAGGCAGAAGGCATTTAAGAATTAGTAAGAGGACAACCACCAAAATACAAATGTCTACTGTGCATGAGATTGTTGCAGCATCAGACATTACAAATTTAAGCTAAACCAGCACTCAGATAACTTGCCTTTATTATTTTACAAAATAATGTTTGGAGCTCAAATAAAGCAACAGAAAATCTTTATGAAAGAGAAGAAACAGCATACGCGAGGCATTACCAAAAGTTCTTAAGAATGGTTTGACTTTGGTGTAAAAAAAAAAAAAAAAAAATCAGAGGTTTCAACTTCTTCTGTAAAGACAGATTAGGAACAGGGAAGGGGACAGCAAGAAGAGAAAAGTGAGAAAGGATACAAGAAATTGTTTTAAATTAAAGCCACTGGAAGTTACAAAATCGAGGTGATTCACCACAGGACCAAAAGGCACCCAAAGGTATACAAAACAGATATTAAGTGTCAGAAGACAAGTTAAAAAACATTTATTGAGCACTTACAAGGGGCGGGGGGGGGGAGAAAACAACAAAAAAAAACTTTTTAGTAAGAGTCCTCAAAACAGAGAGCATCTGCTGTCATCTCATAAATCCAAAGGCTTCCTTTGATATTAAAAATAATTTTTGACACTGTCCTGGATCTAACACCCAATATTTCAATATTAGATCTCCTGATAAAGTTCACAGAACCTTTTTAGATTTGCAAAATAAACACTCTGTCTAGAGAAATGGGACGTCACAGTTTTGCGGTCTACTGAGGTACAGTCTTGGTGGATCAAAGAAATGTTAATGTGGGCATAACTGGCAGCTATCTAAGTAACAGTGACTGTGATCTGATAATTATTCAGTGAAAACATGCACCACTAAGTCAGTGTTATTTTTGTACTTGAAATTTTAAACAGGTCAGTTTCCCCAAATGTAATGTTTGCAAGTGACTAGAAAAAAAACCAACAACATTTAAAGTGAGCAGTGTAAGCTAGGAATTATCATTTAATGACATCCCAAATTAATATCCAAAAAAGAAAGCACAATATAAAGAAACATTAAAAAATAGTAAGGGTTAATAGTTACAAGAAAAACACACATAACTTAAGAGAAACTTAAGGAATCAATAAAATATCAATTAGCAGCAGCATTCAGGACAGCAAGATTTCAGACCTGTATAAAACACATACTCTATCATGAGCAGATCCACCATGGGATACTGCTGGTGAAAATAAAAGCAGCAATGCAAAAATGCAGAAATATTCCGCAGATCCTTTTAATCTGTACCTGGAACAAAACAATGACTGCATTTAATCTCATATAATAGTAAAGAAGGAACAAAAACATTGATGTATTTAATTAAGGAAGCTCTACAGCAGCACTTCCTACAAACAAACATTTTTCAGTCAAATGCCCAACATTTCACACTGTTGTCTTAAACTGGTCAAAGGGCAACTTGCCTTTAATCTGTAACACAATAACGCATTAGTAAATCTGGAACTCAGTCAACAGTTCTAGCGACTAGTATAGTCAATGCTAGTCATGCATAACTTCAGCAAAGGGAGTCAAGCTAACAGACTTCTTGTCCCACATACATTACAAAGGTACTTTCACCAATACAGTGCATTTGAAATTATCCAAAAGAAATTCACTCAATACAACATGGCACCTTAATTTTAAAAAAAATCAGCATTGTAAGACACTATTAAGGGGACATTTTAAATGGATTAAAAACTCCTACAGAAACAGATCTCAAAATGCATCTAACGGGAAAACACAAATAAGCATGTCAAAACCTTGCATTGTACTTCAAAACCAAGTCCTCATACACCACCATATAATAATTTCATCAATTATCTGAATAATTAAATTACTTTGTCCATATAATTTACAAAGGATAGGGAATTCAGTGCTTCAATGCCCAGTAAGTCTTTCAGTTGCCATTAGGCATGTTGTTACAAGGCTTAATGTAAAGAGCTCCTGGCAGAAATTCTACAGCCTTTGTGTACCAGCATTCAAATCAACATCTCTGGCCTTTTATTACGGATTCAAGAAATCCATAGCTCTAACAGCCACTGTCAAGTTTCATCAGAACTACTGATCTCATGCCCCAGGCAATCTAAAAGCACAAAACAGAAGATCCTTCACAGGCATTGGACTATTCCACACCTTTCTGCAACTTCCCCTAGAACTTCCATTGCAGGCTTGTCAGCCCAGACCAAACCGAACCAGTAGAATATGCTGCATTCCTCTTGAAAATGGCTTCTAAATGTGCCCTCCACCAGATGCTTAAGATATGAATCATGATACAAAACTGAAGACAACCTTGTTTCTCAGCTTGGATCCAGGAAGAAGGGACAGAGAGTTAATATTACCCTGCTTAATGCTTCATATTCTTTTTCCTCTCATTTCTCCTTAAGGGATTGTGGGAACAGAGCAATTAAGAATCTGAGGCCTACTACCAGCAAAACCAATCATATCCTAACTAGAACTAGCAACCCCCTTTCCTCCTAGCCCTTTGATGAACTCACCTGTACCATTCATATGCAAATAAACACAATGGACCAGTGAACCGCACAGCTAGACGTCTATATCAAGTTGGAGCACTGTTACTTGAGAATTTTTTCCTAAAATGCCCCAGCATACTGCATGAATAACATAATCCAAGGTAGCACAACATAATGTGCATTAGGTCTTTCCCTCCTCCACACTCCTTAAAACATGCCCTGGCTCTACGTCTTGTTATGGGGCTGACTCAAGCAATGTACCTAGCAGCTACTTCCAGCTCAGCAAACCATACCGCCAGGTAACTCAGGTCAACTCTTTTTCTTCATCCATGAACACACAGTGGACACGCTCCTCTGCATTGTAATACACCTGCCCACAGCGCAGACGTGGTTCTTCCTGCTGGTACCAGAGCTGTTCATTGAACTCTGGGAAGAAAAAGGAAATTTCTCTGCTGGCTGATGCTTGTGAATCTGTTAAAAACAGAGGAAAAGATCATGAGAGATGCCAGTCTGGCACAACAACTATGTTCTATGTTCCAAACGGCAGAAGCCATAAAGAAAAGTGACAGGCTCAGTTGCACCAGGACAGGTGTGAGGAGTCCATAGAAGTGAGCAAATCATCAACTTTTGACTCCCAGAACAGAAAGCAAGCAAAAGGCAGACAAAATACCATCATTTATGCCTCCCTGAGCTCCAGCTTTTGCCCAAAACACAGACAAGGACAGGTCTACCTGAACCATGAGTGGTATTCCTGGTGTCAGTGAGGCCATAAGCTCCTCGGATAGAGTCCGGCACGCTGTTTCGGGCTCGGAATACTTTGGTGGGTCCCATCAGGGATCTCCAGAGAGGGACAGCATTCTCATGGGCCAAGATATAAGCCCACATCGGGCCACTAAGAAAAGGACCAGGGAAGAGCAGAAGTAGGTAAGATTACAAAAGGGCACAGCTCCTTCATTCTTATAAATACAGCAACTGCAAAGAACCAAGGAAGTGCAACTGCCATGCAGTGCTTTCTGGAAAGGGATACAGACCTACCATGACAACAGACACTGAGATCATGGCTCAGAAGCAAAGCATTTACATGAATGACCTCGTCCTAGGTAATGGTACCAACAACCTTTGGGGATGCCACCCCACCAGGTACTACTGTTGTCACAGCAGAGTTCGTTCCTGACAGTTCTCCACCCTTGCGCCCAGAATCCTCCCCCTCAGCACACCACAAGCACCAACTCCTGATGAGACACATCCCACACCAAGATCGGCCCCTCCAGGTGCAGAAGCATTGCGCAGGCAAGACAAGAGTCCACCTGCAAAGCGAAGTGAGCTTCTTCCTCGCGCCCCATGCAGCCTGGCTGCGGGCGCGGCAGGTACCTGGCCATG